AATAAATGTTTATAATATATATCTAATAAAATATAATATCTATCTAATATCTATCTAATAAAATAGAATAAATATTTATTTTCTAATAAAATATATATCTAATAAAACATAACAAATATTTATAATATATATATATATATCTTACCACAGCACGTTTGGTGTTCGTGTCGCGTTAACTGTAGATCATTTGCGACTAAATCGCTACTACTTTTAGAAACTAGAAAACAATATAGAAAAAATTTAATTAATTTCAACATTAATGTACTTATATAACTGTATAAAAAATTGTACGTACTTTCTGCCACGTACAGTCTGATTGTTCATTATCACTTGTTAGCATGTCTTCATTTGAGCATGTATCGTCTATAAATACTTGCATGCTCATATCTAAAATATATCATGTTTGTATATACAGAGTGTCCAAAAAGTTCCGGGACACCTAAATAATTTCTCAATGGTTTGAGATATTGGGTTGAAATTTAATTTAAATAGGGTTACAATGGCAAAATGTAATCTATCATTTAAAAATCACCTTAAAATATATTATTATATATTATTCTGTTCAGCAAACCTGACAGTACACGGAACATTTGTTGTGCTCACTTCCAATCTATGGAGTTGCGTCTCCTTATTCATACTTCATGCACCAATCAAAATTGGATCCGTTATTTCGTGACTCTTATGAGGATCTCTAATTGAATCCAGCCCAAAACAAAAATTGCACGGTGATACCTACTCGAAGACTCAGAGCTCCTACACACTGGACGCGGAAATGCGGGAGCGTCCCGTTTGACCACGTCCCGATTGACCACAGCCACTCACAGCGGCCGGTGCCTAGAGATTTTCCACTGTTCAAGCGCTGTGAGTGGCTGGTGGTCAATCGGGACGTGGTCAATCGGGTATCACCCGGAAATGCTTGTCGCGCGGCAAAATGCGACGCAGTAGCCAATAAACTTATAGCTCCTGTCAGAGATCAAGAAAGATGACACGTCCATTGGCTACCGCGTTGTGTCTTGCCACGCGACAAGATACAACGCGGTAGCCAATGGCCACGTTCAACAGACAGTCTTGATCAGTGAGCGCTCAGTGATTCTTTGTTACGATTGGTTTATTCACTCAGATCCAGCGAATCACCATAAGCGCTCACTCATCTGCTTCGTCTGCTAAACGTGGCCAATGTCATCTTTCTTTAGGAGCTATAAGGGAGAATTCACACCTTGACAGAAAAGCAGAAGCCAATCAGAACTCACGCTGGTAACAAGAAAAGCAGAAAGCAGAAACTGTTGACTATCAGCGCGAGTTTTGATTGGTTTCTGCTATTCTGTTTTCTACTTTTTTTCAAGGTGTGAATTCTCCCTAAGTTTATTGGTTACCGCGTCACATTTTGCGACAAGCATAAGCATTTCCGTGTCCAGTGTGCAGGAGCCCTAATGGATAGGATTCTAACCTTGAAATAGATGAATGAAGTCGTGACCGGTGTGAAGACTGTGAAGACAACATACAACCCTGGTAGGACAAGTGTGGGGCTGACAGCGTTGATAGTGTTGGTGTCAATTTAAGGTTAGTGTATAAAGCTTTATGCATAAGCTTGTGCGTTGCTGTGCATTATGCTACTCGTATGTGTTATGCTTTATACAGAAGTCTGTGCTTCCCGCCTTTATACTTACGTTACTAACCTCACAATGCACACAACTGTCAAAACATGCAATGGCAGTTGACAACCAATTGATGGAAAAGCGACAATAAATTTAGAGAAACACACAGTAATTGTCTTTACATGGTCTTTTTTTTATTGCCGAGTGACAACTTGTTTCTTAAACCTTTGGTTTTATGTTGAACGGCATAAATTATTAAAACCCAAGGTGAAAGAGTTAAAGTAAGCAGTCACTTCTTTTTTCTTCTGTTGGAAAAACACGAGCTTAGTGCAGACGTAGTTGTCATAATGTTTTGCTAAAATCTTCTGGCACTGTTGACGTTTTATTTATTGGGCTTATTGGGTATTTTGTCATATTTCTCATGTACTTTATTATAAAAATATACTTTAAAGACAAATCTCTTCCGTGGAGAAAATAGATTTCGAGGTTCATGCATTTCTTCTGTATTTATTTAAATTAAACACTCGAGTGTGAATAAAGTCAAAATTCTTAAACTGTCCACTTCATGCATCTTGTATCAAGATGAGTACCTAGGCACTTGACACAGCAATATCTGGCACCACAAGGTATACACGTATAATTACTGGGGAAACCGCACACCGCACAGAAATGTCTCTCAGGTAAACGGGACGGCGGTGCCTGGGCGCAGGCGTAGTTCGGTGGATTGGGATTCATATTGAGGTCCTCCTCGACGAGCTGGGCGAAAGTCTTGCGAAAACGTTGCTTGTAATATTCTGCGGAACGAGTCTTCTTTTTTCTGCCACTTCTGTTGTCCAATGTTTCTTGAAATTTTGGTACTTTCTTACTCATCACTGAAACAAGAAAAAATATATATTAATTAGCATACGATGTTTCAAAAAGATGCGTCTTTATAATGCATACTAGGGCTGTTACTTTTTACTCACTTCGAATACTTGAAGTTTCAAAGTTTTCAAAAATACATAAAAAATTTGAATTTTCTTAATTGGATCTATATATTTTCTCCATTATAGTTATATATAAATTAATCCAAATATATAGATATATTGAAGTATTAATTCAAATATTAATTAATTGGATCTATATATTTTCTTAATTGGATTGTTTTGATCATTATCTTTCTTTATTTACACATGTATCAAGTTTAATTATTAATTTGTCAGGTTATAATACTTTCAAATTTTTTAGGAATAATTTCATACATATATTAATTCTTTTTATTTACAATATTTGTAATTTTCTGAATAAATTTGTACAAAAATACATTTGCACAAATGTATTTTTCGAAACTTCGAAGGCACCTTAAACTTCGAAGCTTCGAAAGAATTCGAAGATTTTAAATGCCGAAGCGTTCGAAGTAAATCACCAGCCCTAATACATACCCAAGTCGGCATGTGGATCATCATGAAAATTGTCTTGCTCCAATGCTTCCAATGCCTTTTTCTGCCTACGCTTACGCGCAGCGTCATCAAGGATTCTCTTTTGACACGCATCCTTTATTCTACCAGATTCTCGAGCCATTTTTCAAGTTCACAATATTATATCTCAAAAAGTAAATCTCTCGTTTCTTCCTTTTTATACACCCTTTTCTGCCAGTGGGAATGATATCTGATCCATTAAATCATCTACTTTTGCTTGTAAAGTTTCCAATATGTCGGCAGATATGAATAGATGTCTCTCGTCCAGATCTTGAATTATGAATTTCCTTCCTAGCGCAGATGTTTCGTCTAAATGTAGAAGAAACTGCTTCATAGCCGCATCGCTAAACAACATAAACAATTTTATTTGAATTTTAATTATTTTTAATTATTTAATTACATATTTACGAATATGCATTTAGATACCATGTCCAAGAAAAAAGGAGTTTCTCTCGATGAAAAACGTATGAGAATGCTGCAAATATTTTACGAGAAGAAAGAATTTTTCACACTAAAGGATCTTGAGAAGATCGCGCCAAAGGAAAAGAATATCGTGATACAATCTGTCAAAGATGTGTTACAAGCTTTAGTGGACGATGGTTTAGTACGATCTGAAAAAATTGGTACTTCCACATATTTCTGGAGGTTCCCAGGGTAATATTGCAAGAAAATTGTATGGCTCTTATTCGTAGAAAAAAAAACGAGATACTTAAGAAGTAATCTTTTACAGAGAAAATATTACTGCAACAGAACGCAGAATAGCTGATACAAGCAAAAAGTTGGTAGAAACGGAATTTAAGTTGGAGAAACTGAAGGAAGAGATACAGAAGGAAAAGGTAAAGACAAATCAACTATTAATTTATTAAACTTGAATTTCTTTTTACCTATCTAAAATATGTCATATAGGAACTGAAAAATGATTCAGAAGAAAGGAGAACGTTATTAGAAGAAGTGGAAAAGTTGAGGAAAGAGGAACAAGAGATAAAAAAACAAATTGCTAAATTCAGTGGCGTCGATCCAGAAGTAATTACGGAAATGGTTGAAAAGACACAGGTATTATCAAACTTCAGAACGTCTTGTTCTGACAAATATCTGACATTTTTAGAAAAATTTTCATATTTTAAATTTATGAAAGTTTTTAAAAAGTATCTTAAACTTTTTCAGATTTTATAAGTTTTTTTTTTGGAAATTATAAAATAAGAAATCATAAAATATTCCAGAATTCCCATATGTAAAGAATTGTAGATAAGATGTAGATTTTCTCATTTCTAAAAATATTTCAAAATCGTATAAAAAAATCTGAGAAATATTGTTTAGAGAATTATATGGAAATTATATGAAGAATTCTAAAAAAAATTGTTACCAGAGACATTGAAAAATATAATATAAATATGAATAATAATGTAACTTACAATTAGATAAATATGCAGAATTATAAAAAATCCTCCCTGATTTCAATGAAATTACATACACATCACATCACATTATATTTAATTCAACATAATAGACCTCTTAATCTTTTAATGTTTTGTTGTGCTTCTTGTAGCTTTAGATACTTTTGATTATCGTTTCTGTATTCTACCAATTTACACATGACACACAATAGGTATTAGATTTCAGTGAAATCAGAGGAAGCTATTATTTTGTTGATGTCGCTGATATTTGCTCCTTTTTTGTTATAATATTCGTTTAGAGATACAAAGATGCGACCAACATATGGACAGACAACATTTTTTCTATACAGAGCTGGTGCAAGAATAAATTTGGCATCTCGGAGCAGGATCTTAATAAACAATTTAACATTTCCGAGGACTTGGATTATAAAGAATAAATATGATTGTTAGCTGCTCATGCAGTTTGGCTTGGATTATAAAGAATGAATATGATTGTTAATTCAGTTTATCAATAAATTATTTTTTCTACAGACAAGACATACCATTCAACCAAAATGCCCTTCGTCACATTTACCATGTCTTGCAATTATTTTCTTTTTAAATAAATTTGCTGTCGAGTTTGTCTTTCTTCGTAAACCTACTGGTCTCACGTATCTTTTAAAAGAACTTTTTGTCAGAAATTCATTACTAGAAATTCATTAATGAAAGAGATTATGACACCAGACAGTCACAGGACAGCATCGAGCGGTCAAAAACGAAAAAGTAAATAGACTATCCAAGCAAAGTAAATAGAAAGGAAACTCGATATAAAATTGTGATTTCCGGCACGCTCGATGTTACTTTCCGTTGTATGCATGTGCATTAGGCTGGATCCTCATACAGACACTGGCGCTTTGACATTGAACGTGATTGGCGGAAAACGATTAGTGGGGGTAGAGTCCTAGATTATCAGAGAAGCGCGACCGGTGTTACGAGTCCTGATTGGACACGCAAATGGCCAATCATAAGATTGATTTATCGCTATTATAAATGGCTGCCGAATAAATCAAACTTATGATTGGCCATTCGACGCCATTTTTAATATTTTTTAGTACTTTTGCGATACTGCCATAAGCCGGTCTCGCTTCTCTGATAATCTAGGACTCTAAGTGGGGGTAAATAGTAAGAGAATTTTCTCGCTATTTACCCCCACTAATCGTTTTCTGTCAATCAGCGTTCGGTGTCAAGCGCCAGTGTCTGCATGAGGATCCAGCCTTAGGGTGCGTTCCCACTGAGCGCGTCACGCGCGCGTCATCCGTTACGTTACGACCAATCAAAACATCCAATTTTATTGCGTAATTAATTAATGGCAGAAGTACTAGGAATAGAAATATAAGAATTTCAACTTATTAAAAAACGTGTACTGTGAAAAAATACATAATTTTTAATTTTAATTTTTGCAAATTTTTGTAATTTTCCATCAAGTTTATGATACATAATTGAATCTAAGGATAATAAAAAGATAATTAAATAAATTCCCGAGAAAAAAAGTTTAACATATAATTATTGTTTCTTTCCTTTGTAAAATTATTCTTTAATAAAATTGATAATAATAAGATGAAAACATAAAAAATAATTAAGAGTAATTTTTACATTGTTTTTTTTTTACAAAAAAACAAGTTTGAAAAAATAAGAAAAATTGTTTATATATAATTATATATATATTTTTTTAATCACTTATATATGATATTTATATATGAGTAATTTTTCTCATTTCTTCAAACTTTATTTTTTGTAAAAAGAACAATGTAAAAATTATTCTTTTAATTATTTTTTATGTTTCCTTATTATGAATTTTGTATTAAAGAATAATTTTCCAAAGGAAAGAAATACATATGGACATATTTTGCATATAATTATATATATAATTATATGTGGAACTTTTTTCCGGGTTATAAAATCAATGTTATATTAGAAACAGTTTAATATTATATAAATTGTTATATAAACTTCTATAAGATTGTCATTAAATAGTATTCATTGTTAGTTTTTATTATTACTTATGTTTTTTTATTCGCTATACAGTCGATCTTAGGACTCTGTAATAAAAAATCACAAGATAATTTTTGAAATTTATAAAATAAGTTTTCATTAATTATGATTTATATTAAAATTTTTATAATTTTATTAATTTTAAATTTAAATAATTGAAAAATTTAAATGTTTTAAAAGTATAAATAATTAGAAGTACATTAATTATACATATATAAATATATTTTTTTAATTTTTAGATAAAAATTGTATGTTAAAAAATTAGTAGAATAAAGTTATTAGAAAATTGCTGTAGATTTGCCACAGTGTAATAACTTTTTTTTACGTATAATTTTCTTTATTAAAAATTTGCCGCAAAATTACATTTTTTTCCAACTGTTTTACTATCTTTTTGGATAATTAAACGCGGATGGTAACTATAAAAATACAATTTTAAATAAAATTAACTATTGCAAGATATACAGATGAATTATAAAGTACGTATCTAAAAAACATTGATCTATTATAATAAATCATAAAATTAATGTTATTATTGCCTAATTGCTTAAATTTTAGCAATTACTAAACTGCCACGCTAACTCCCGTAAGGCTGTCGGTCTTTAAGTGTATCTCGTCGGTGTTAAATACTATATACAAACGTTTTTACAATTTTAGAATAGTTGATAGCAATCTTTGATATATGTTTAACTTCATTAAATTTTTTTATTAAAAATAATTAAAAATAATTTTCACAATAATTCACATTAAAATTTAATTATCTTTACATAAAAATTTTAAGAATAAAAAGAAGCACGATGTAAAGATCAAATTTCGCGGCTGGTTTTCACCGCCATCTGACGACAACTTGTACAGTCCGTGCGTCGTCAATTGCATCAGCCATTGAAATACCCCGAAAATCGCGCTCGAGGCCAGGCCAGCGGAGCCAGTTACTCCACATCGATCGCGGGCTGCTATTCATAGTCGGACTACAGGCCAGTTGGCTGCATCACTGTTCTCTTGTGCGTGACAGAGACGCGAGGTGAGTATGTTACAAGCAAAGCGAACGAGAGTACGCATCGCACGCGGGAGGCGTTCACGCACAGTGCGTACCCTTTTTCCCCCTTTTCAAATTCGGATCTCCACTCTCCGCCGATCCTGACGTTACCACGTGCTCGCGCGCGCATTCATCTCGGCGAAATTCGATCCGCGAGGTCGAAAGTTATATATGCGCCAAGTCATTGAAATGCATGGACAGAACTGATGTATCCGCATAATCATGGGGAAGGAAAATCGGCCCGCGATTCCCCTCTTCGGCCTCTCGTTGGACCGCGATTCCCCTTCGATCAGAGACACCCATCCGCGTGACCACGTTGAATAGTAGCTACTCACTTACGTAACGCGTGTCTAACCCTGGCCCTGGGCCAGTGTTGGAACGCATTCCGAATGCATTTTTAGGGTCGTGCGAAACGCGCGAGTCGCGACGTCCTTCACTCGGAGGGGGACTGTCACGGGAGGGCTGTCGAGAAACGTGGACCGATTCGCGGTCGAGATTCAAAATTGCTCCGATTTTAGGAAGAACTTCCGGACAATCCCGACTGATGTAATCGCTTCTCTCGATAGTGAAGTCACGATTATCGAAAGTCGTTTATCTCCCTGTTAGATTATGATTTAGAAGACAACGATGCAACCGCGTGACGCGGACTGATTAGTGCGGTTAGATAGAATTAATTATTGGTTCAAAGGTCATTTTTAGAGTTACACGTGTCCTCCACTCCGGACGTCTTCTTTGTCTCTTTACGTCATTTTCGATTCACCCCAAAGGATCTTTATGCGCGATGTCACCGGTCACGCTATAGATTGCATCATCAGATGAGTTGTCGGGTGCGGAAGCCAAAAAATTTTGACAAAACTGACCTTTGTGATCACACTTGAATATTTCTGACCACGTATACACACGTTTCTGTATTTGCTACATTCAACTTGGTTATTACTAGAGATGTCAATAGAAAAAAAACCAAATTGTTTCTTTTTCATAAAATATTTTTTTTTTTTTTTTTTTAGAAAGAAACATAAGCCTCGTTTTTTTATCAAAATTTTGTTTTTTTTTAGCTATCTATTTAATATCTATATTTTGCTTAATATAAGTTAATTTTTCATGATTTTTTATTATTTTATAAATAGTAGATTTAAATTATCATCATTTTATTTTGCGCAGAACGAGAAAGCCAATATATTGATTCTGAAACATATTTTGAAGCAAGGACTTTAATGAATAATTATAATAAATTTTACTTAAGGAAAAGCTTTAGAAAAAGAATTAAAACGATTCTCCTTTTGTAAAAGTTAGATCACATTAAACTTAATTATATAATTATATACTATCTACAATTAATTAGTCGTGTTATCAAAATTAGGACAAAAAAACTAAATTTGTATTTTTTCAATGAAATAAAATGCGTTTTTTTTCTAATGTTTTTTTTACATCTCTAGTTATTACTAACTGAAACCCGCCAAAAGGAAACCATTAAAAGAAAAAAAGAAGACCAATTACGTTCGATATCACAAACATTTTTTTATCCGAAAAACTTGTTGTATATCACATTCGAATGTTGATAATTATTGCACGTCATAATTGTTTCACGATTATTCGATAGTCTGATCTAGCCGTGAGCGCGGTATATTTTGTGTGCTTTTCTACGACTTGTCATATGTGATGACGTATCACAAGGAAGAAAAATGCATTCTACGTGATGCAAGTGTTATAAGTGTTACAATACTTGTGATATCGCGAGTGAATATTAAGCTGAAGATAGAAGTAATTGAATATTTTGTAGAAAAATTACGATAAATATTAATTATACTTCATTGGGAGTTTCATTTTGTAAATTATGCAATTTACAATATGCAGTTATACATATAAACATTTCAAAAACAACTATATGCTTTCTTTGCACTAATTGATGCATCTCATTATTTTGTTCATAAGTATTTAGGGTAAGATTATCAGAAAATTCATAATTTACGAGATATTTCATATTTTATATCAAATATGCCAAAATAATATATAAAATATCTCTGTCATAAATTATTAATTTTTGCATAACGAATGATTTTATATGCAGAATAAAGAATAAAATTATGTTAAAAAAATCTCATAAATTCTATTTAAAAAAAAAATACAATGACCTTTACGTGACCTTTAACAATATAATTCTTTTCGGAAATTGATTTTATTATTATTTATTCCTTTTTTAAACAACATAACTTTTATTTGAAACATTTTTGCTTGCCGAGCTCATTTTTTAAATTATTTTTTTAATAGTCAGTTGGATGGTTTACAATAAGATACCTTGTATAACATAGTTATTATATAATTGCATTGATACCTCTGAAAAACTGTCATAACAGAATCTCAAGATTTATTACAAGTATTTTTTAAACCAATTTAAGACATTGTAAATTAATTTGAGAATATAAAAATATTTTTTGAATATCTGTATTTGAATTAGATACAGAATTAAAAGTTCTTATTCTATATTAAACAACGTTCGTATATATGCTGGCAAAGCGAATCAAAAAAACATTTTTGTTGACATTAATTTTTTTTAGATCATCTTTGCAAATTGATTTTATTATTATTTATTTCCTTTTAAACAATATAACTTTTGTTTGAAACATTTTTGCTTGCCGAGCTCATTTTTTTAAAGATACAGTCAGTTGAATGGTTTACATATCGATAATCGAACATCACTTTCTTATTCTGTGATAATCGTTGGAGGATTATTAGTGTTAATTAGTGTTAATTATTTGAGAGTTTAACTTTCTATTTTAGAACTCTTTGAAAGAATTATTATTTGCTCGCGTTATTAATATTGTTATTCAATAATTATTTTGTTGAATTTTATAAATAAAGATAAAATATTTAATACGAGTAATGCATGTAACGAATGATAATAAAAAAAATCATATGTGTATATTTTTAGCGTACTAATTTTTGTTATAATTGAATGTCTTTTTTTTTCAGAATACAAAATTAAATAAATATGGGTGTTCCGGCGGGTGATGTAGAGAAAGGAAAAAAGGTAATAAATAAGAAAGACAAAAAACAAATTTAATAGCCTTATAACATAAATAGTAATTTATAACGAAATTTTGTATTTCTTTTTTTTAGCTTTTTATTCAAAGATGCGCACAATGTCATACCGTCGAAGCGGGTGGCAAACACAAAGTAGGTCCTAATTTACATGGACTTATAGGTAGAAAAACTGGTCAAGCTCCGGGTTTCTTATACACCGATGCCAACAAAGCGAAGGGTATGTTTAGTTTAGGGCTGTTACTTTTTACTCACTTCGAATATTCGAAGCTTCGACGTTAACTTCGACCTTTCGAAGTTTAAGGTGCCTTCGAAGCTTTGAAAAATACATTAAAATTTGAATTTTCTTAATTGGATTGTTTTATTGATTATTATCTTTCCTCATTTACACATGTATTAAGTTTCATTATTAATTTGTAATATTTCAGGTTATAATACTTTCAAATTTTTTAGGAATAATTCCGTAGATATATTAATTCTTTTTATTTACAATATTTGTAAATTTTTTGAATAAATTTATTATTTGTTCAAATGTATTTTTCGAAATTTCAAAAGAATTTGAAGATTTTAATGCCGAAGCTTCGAAGCAAATCACCAGCCCTAGTTTAGTTATTGATCACATGATACAGTTAAATATATAAATGCACTCTGTATTGTTTAGAGCACTAAAATCACTTTTGTACTCAGAATAAATACACTCATAAATAGTAATCTTATTATAATCCACGCGCGTTACTTGTGTTTTAGGAATCACTTGGAATAAGGATACCCTGTTCGAGTATCTAGAAAATCCAAAGAAATACATTCCCGGCACGAAGATGGTATTCGCCGGATTGAAGAAGCCCCAGGAGCGGGCCGATCTTATAGCTTATCTCGAACAATCGACGAAGTAGGCGCCTCTCCCACGTGCATGCTACCGCATCGCGGAATTCGCGAGGGATGCGAGCGAGCGCGCGAGATGCCGCGTATGGCATGCGAGTCGCGATATTAGTACGATTATCATCTCATCACGTCTTGTCATCTCACTCGTACTGTTCACCCCATGGACTCTCCTCTCGATGGTACTCAAAAGCGTTCGCAATACGTGTTTAAATAGTAAATTGTTATTGTTGATAAGTAGATAATTGCAAATATGTACATGACGTGACAATTGGGTCGGGCTAGCCCCGACTCTGCTTTCTTTCTTCATTACACCGAAGAGATATTCTCAGGAGCGCCATTAACGCCCGCCATGCGAGTGGTTGAGCCACTCTTCCGCGGATCTCGCGTCCTTAATTATTTATTATCATTGTACCATCCAGCGAGTGTTGATCTGTAAATCAAAGACAAAATACAGACTAGGCAATTAAAAATTTGCAGTTGTCTTATTTCTTTCCATTGAATTACGTGAGGTACTGGTACGCTTGCAACAGTCGGATTAAAGTGAACGATCGAGTATTTGCAAAGCGATTAGGTGTCATTGATACGCTATGATTTTCGAGCCTCCGATTAGATTAGACAAGCTTCCGCCTGTGGAGTATTTGAGCATCTTATCACTTTCACGTATTACATTTTTTTCTCATTCTATTATTAGACTTTCCTGCTTTATATTTACATTTAAGGATTTGAGTTGATAAAAGCGGGCAAGGAAGGATGCGGTTAGCGCCGACAGGAAGTCTTGCTCTCGATTGGGGTTTTACTCAATTCCTTGGCGAAATCTCATCGCAGTCGCTGTTAATGTATTGTTCTGATGCAACGTGTTGTACGTGCAACTTACATAGTACTCGAGTAGCATTAATATAATTTAGTGCCAAGTAATAATCATTAAATAGTAAATATACAGCAATCTCGATCATCATCGGCGATACTCGTGAAAAAAGTAAACCGTAAATTTAAAACAAATCACTTTAATTTTCAATAAAAAATAAATTATGATTTTATTATTACTTCTCGGATTTGCGTGCAAAACGCACATGTTCGACAATACTGATTGTGAATTTTAGTACGCGCGTTTACGCGGAGGAATACTTTCACTTTTTATAAGTTTATATAGCTTAATAATTTTTCAGCTTTACAATTTAATTAACACTCCTTGTAAAGGTACAATCATGACGAGTAATTTAGAACCATCCGATCGGGCCGTTTCGAGCGTCGATGACAATTGTGTTGCAAGACTCAAACATAAGACATCCCTGAGGCTGCGTTTGGGTCATGTCTTCAGCTCCAGTGGACTCAAGAGTCCCAAGAGTCCGAAGAGCGTGTCGAATTCACGCGGATCAAGCCCCAGTCACGGCAGTCCTCGCGCCAGGACGAGATATTCCTGGCAACCGGGAACCTACGCCGGCGAAGATAATCGATCGCCCGGTACACCGGAAAGTGGGATCTCGATCTCGTCATCTTCGACGAAGTCGTCATCGATCACGAACACTTCAAGCTCGCCCAAAAGTCCATCCACGCCAAGAAGCCCGTCCTCTTCGATGTGGTACGCCACTAATAGGTAAGTTTAAATCTTTGCGAAAAATTGACGTATCGCACTAATATTAACATCTATTTTACTTAGATGTGTTAATATTACATACGTATTAGGTGTATGCAAAAGTTTTATTCTTTTTTTCGCACGTTTTCACTTTAGATCCATAATATTTATAGTCTTTGTCAAAATTGTCAAAATATTTATCTTTGTTTTCTGTCTTGATCTTTTGCCATTACTCAAGTAAATTTCGGATTCCTTTACGAAAAAAAAAATTAATTGTATCTTATTGTTTATAGTTACAATCTCGAAAGCGCTTTTCAGTTAAAGAATGTTGCATCGATCGGAATAAATGATAATTTGAAGACATTGAAGTTGAATACGCCGTGCAGGAAAATTCTCCAGTCTAATTGTAAACTAAAAATGATTTGCTGGATATGAAAAGCAACATGCAATTTAACGTTGTCATGTAGCAAAATGATCTCATCAATTTACTTGTCCGGTAAATGATATTTTCTGTTTTAAAATTCTTTAAAAACGCAAAAAACGGGAATTTATTTAATTATATCAAAATACTATTCAAATAATTATATCAGAGCGTTGAGAGCGTTGAGAAGAAACTAAAACTTTTGTATATATACCTAATATATTTTTATAATTATATATATATATATATATATATATATATATAT